CTCTCTCTCTCTGTCTCTCTCTCTCTCTCTCTCTCTCACACACACACACACACACACACACACACACTTTTTTTTTCGAGGCAGGGTTTGTCTGTGTAACAGCCCTAACAGAGACCTTTTAGAATTTTCTCAAGAATCAAGTATAAATTGTGTTAAAAGCGGAAGGTTCTAGAGAGCCATTTATCCTTGGCTTTCGCCCTCTCTCTACCCAGCCTACTCTATTCAGTTCCCTCCCAAGCTTGCTCCAAGCTTGCACACAGACAGACAGACAGACAGACAGACAAACAAACACACACACACACACACACACACACGCTCCCCTGGATATCACATTAACATGTTGATGTTGCAATAGAAACAAGCATCCTAGGCTAGGTGTTCATACTAACCCACCGGGTGGTCCTAAGCCAGTTTCCCTGTTGGATTCTCCTTCCCCTGTCTTTGTGAACTGGGTGGAAAGGAAAGGGAAAAAATCCAATAATGTGTTATTCCACAACCAAATGGGGGCGGGGGAGCTGAAAATCTCAGGTCCACGAGCTTGGTTAACTAAGAACATCTGAAATCGGGGCTGGAGAGTTGCTCAGCGTATAGAAGAACATGTTGCTCTTCCACAGGTCCTGAGTTCAACTCCCAGCAACCAGACAGTGGCTCACAACTGTCTACAACGGGACCTGATGTTCTCTTCTGTCATGAAGATGAACAGGAAGGCAAAGCGCTCCTATACATAAACAAATCTTTAAAAAAAATCTGAAATGGGACCAGAGAAATGGCTCAAGATGCCAAGACTGACAACCAATTTGATTCTCAGGACCCATATGGTGGAAGGGCACACTTCCAAATTGTCCCCGATTTCCACATGAATGCTGTGGCACACATGTACACACACACACACACACACCAAATAAGTAAATAAACAAATGTAAAGCATAAAAAAAACCATCTGGAAATGGCATCTGAGAGTATTCTTAAAGGTTTACCAACCCTACAAACTGAAAAAAATTAAATGGGTGGGTTTTTTTAAAATTTTGTTTACTATGCACTGGTGTTTTGCCTTCATGTATATATGAGGGTGTCAGGTCTTGGAGTTAAAGTTGTGAGCTGCCACATGGGTACTGAGAATTAAACCCAGAACCTCTGGAGGAGCAATCAGTGCTCTTAACTGCTGAGCCATCTCTCCAACCTCGAACTTGAAATTTGTAGATGAAGATTTTTCTCTGTTCTTCTGGTCCCACTGTGGAAGCCAGCCATGATAAGTTTAATATGAACAGATCACCCAAAGGAAGTTCTTTACTTCCAACCATTATCACCTGCCAGAGTAGGACTTAGCCATTGATAAATTTAACAAAGGCTTGAGTCTCAGTAGTTTACCCTGAAACAATACCTGGTTGCAGAAAGAACCATAAACTAAGATTACTTGAGCACCACCCAAGAACAGACTATCCAAAGAAAATGCCTAATGTTCCAATGCTGTAGAAAGGATCACCTGCCAGCACACACTCTCCAAGACACCTCTAGACAAATGTCAGCCAATCAGGGGTCCTGAACCACAGAAACCCCTCACCTCCACCTTTACTACTATAAAAACCCAATTCTAGGGCTGGAGAGATGGCTCAGTGGTTAAGAGCATTGCCTGTTCTTCCAAAGGTTCTGAGTTCAAATCCCAGCAACCACATGGTGGCTCACAACCATCTGTAATGAGGTCTGGTGCCCTCTTCTGGC